GTTTGAAATCAGGGAGTGTGACACTGCCAACCCTCTTCTTCTTTCTCAAGAGTGCTTTGGCTATACATGGTATTTGGTGGTTCCATATAAATTTTAGGATTATTCCAGATCTGAGAAGAATGATATTGGTATGTTGATAGGGATTGCATTGAGTCTAGATTGGTTTAGGTAGCATGAACATTTTAAAGATATTAATCCTTTTAATCAATGAGTATGACATAGCCTTCCATTTTTTGGTGTCCTCTTCAATTTTTTTCTTCAATGTTTTATAGTTTTTAGAGCATTGGTCTTCACTTCCTTGGTTAAATTTACTCCTAGGTATTTTATTCTTTCTGATACAGTTATAAATAGGATTGTTTTCTTAATTTCTCCTTTTGGTCACTTGTTATTACTATATAGAAATGCCACAGATTTTCATATACTAATTTTGTATTCTGCTACTCTACTTAATTCATTTATTACTTTTATTAATTTTTTGGAATCTTTAGAGTTTTTCTATCTATAGTATTATGTCACCTGCAAATAGTGATAGTTTTACTTCTTCCTTTACAGTTGGGATGCCTTGTATATCTTTTTCTTGTCTGATTGCTGTGGCTGGGACTTAGAATATTTTATTGAATAACAGTGGTGGGAGTAGGCATCCTTATCTTGTTCCTGATCTTAGAGGTCAGGAGATCAGAGGATGAAAAAATCTTTCAATTTTTCATTATTAGTATGATGTTAGGTATGGTTTTATCATATATGGCCTATATTATGTGGAGGTAAGTTCCCTCTATATCCATTTTGTTGAGAGTTTTCATCATATATGGATATTGAATCTTGTCCAATGCTTTTCATGTATCCATTGAGATGACCATATAATTTTTATTCTTGCTTTTGTTGATGTGATGTTATCACATCATTAACAGATACTGAACCATTCTTGCATCCCTGAGATAAATCTCTTTTGATCATGGTATCTAATCTTTTAAATGTATTATTGAATTCAGTTTGCTAGAACTATTTCATTGAGAACTTTCACATCTATGTTTATCAGGGATATCGGCCTATAATTTCCTTTTTTTCTTCCTTCCTTCCTTCCTTCCTTCCTTCCTTCCTTCCTTCCTTCCTTCCTTCCTTCCTTCCTTCCTTCCTTCCTTCCTAGTAGCACTGTCTGGTTTTGGTGCCAGAGTAATACTGGCCTTGTAGAATAAGTTTGGAAGTGTTCTTCCTCTTTAATTTTTTGTAATAGATTGAGAATAGATATTAATTCTTCTTTAAATGTTTGGTAGAATTCACTGGTGAAGGCATCTGGTCCCAGACTTTTGTCTTTTGGGAGTTTTTTTTTATTATTAATACTGCTTCAGTTTATTGCTAGTAATCAGTCTTTTCAGATTTTCTGTTTCTTCTTGGTTGACTCTTGGGAGGCCCCATGTTTCTAGGAATTTATCCATTTATGTTAGCTTGTCTAAGTTGTCCAATAAGTGGCATATAATTGTTCATAGTATTCTTTTATTATCCTTTGTGTTTCTGTGGTGTTGGTTGTAGACTCTTTGTTTTCATTTCTGTTTTTATTTATTTGAGTTCTCTTGTTTTCTTGATGAGTCTGGCTAAAGGTTTGTCAATTTTGAGAATTTAAAGAGTATTTGCATAACACTGAGCCCATAAAAATCACTATGTAAGTGGACTTTTTTAAGTAAAAAGTCCACAATTTTTTAACTCTATCTTTTTTCTTCTTCAGAAAACCTAATCTCTTTTCATTTTCTCCCTCTTAGTAAGCAACTACAAATACATCCTTTCTGGTCAAAATACCCCATTGGCTATCACACTGACTGACACCACTCACTTTTAAGATGTCTTAACTAAACTCCAGATTCGTGTCAAATCCTTCTACTTTTCCCTACCAACTTCAATTTCTGTTCCTCTAACAATCTCCTTGATTCTTTTCAGTCTTAGATATTCATTATTCCATGTTCATTTTATTTTTTGCCATGTTAAAGGGCTTTGATGACTCGGCTTAGGGTGGCTGGTCTTTTACCAAGTGGCACTTGGAATGGAGGAGAGGAAGTAAGACTGGACCAGGTGAAGGAACAAACTGTCCTAATGCCATGCTCTACTCACCTCCACAGAAGGCCATATTTGGAGAGGGCATACTCTATGCACCTAACATTCAGGGACTCTCATATAAGTAGCAATATGATGTTCCTTTCAAATCAATGCTCTTGCCCCTGACTCCTGAGCAGAATTTAACAGCTGTCAGCAGAACCTGTGTCAGTAACAGTGTGGACAGAACACTAAACTGGGAATCAGAAGACCTAGTTTCTAGCCTCAGCTCCGCCCATGCTTATTACCATGACCTTGGCAAAGTCACTTACACTTATTTGGCCCTAATTACCTTAGGGTTAGTAATGCTCATAGGTATGAGAGTCAAACATATATGAACATACTCTCTTCTGAGCACACATTTTAGCCTTGTATACATTAAAGTTATATTTGTTGCTATAATCAAATCCCAACTATCCAGATTCAGCTCATACATGAAAAATCTTCATACACTTTGCTTCCAGCACATACTGCACTGTGCAGATGAGGCAGGGCTGGCTGAATGGAAAACTAAAGACTCAAAACCTCTAGCTATAAAATACTGCAGAGATTGTGATAGCAGGAGAAACTCGCAGTCTCACAGGAGAATTCTTTGGAAAGTGGGGCTAGAGAGTGGAGTGAGTGGCATTCATTACTCCCTCTCTAACCCCTCCCCCACAGACAGTGCCACAATACAGCAAAGAAGGTTGCCTCACCCAGCTGAATACCTAAGGCTCTGTCTCCTTACATAACAGATGCACCAAGACAAATAAGGCCCAAATGAAAGAACAGATCAAAACTCCAGAAAAACAGCTAAGCAATGAGGAGATAGACAACCTATCTGATGCAGAGTTCAAAACACTGGTAATCAGGATGCTCACAGAATTGACTGATAGTGTCACAAAATGAAGGAAGAAATGAAGGCTACCCAAAGTGAAAAAAAAAGCAAAATATACAGGGAACCAACAGTGGAAGGAAGGAAATTGGGACTCAAATCAACAATTTGGAACAAAAGGAAGAACAAAACATTTGACCAGAACAGAATGAAGAAACAAGAATTCAGAAAAATGAGGAGAAGCTTAGGAACCTCCAGGACAACTTTAAATGTTCCAACATCCAAATCATCAGGGTGCCAGAAGGAGACTTGGAAGAAAAAGAAATTGAAAATTTATTTGAAAAAATAATGAAGGAAAACTTACCCAATCTGGCAAAGGAAATAGACTTCCAGGAAGTCCAAAGAGTCCCCAAAAAATTGGACTCAAGGAGGAACACACCAACGCATGTCATCATTAAGTTATCCAAGGATAAAGATAAAGAGAGAATCCTAAAAGCAGCAAGAGGAAATGAGAGAGTTACCTACAAAGGAGTTTCCATAAGACTATCAACTGATTTCTCAAAAGAAACCCTACAGGCTAGAAGGGGCTGAAAAGAAGTATTTGAAGTCATGAAAGACAAGGACCTACATCCCAGATTGCTCTATCCAGCACAGCTTGTATTTAGAATGGAAGGGCAGATACAGTGTTTCCTAGATAAGATAAAGCTAAAGGAGTTCATCATCACTGAACCCTTATTATATGAAATGTTAAAGGGACTTATCTAAAAAACAGAAGAAGATAAAAAATATGAACAGTAAAATGACAACAAACATAACTATCAACAACTGAACCTAAAAAAAACAAAACTAAGCAAACAACTAGAACAAGAACAGAATCACAGAAATGGAGATCACATGGAGGGTTATTCGTGGGTAGAGTGAATGGAAGACTAGAGGGAAAAGGTACAGGGAATAAGGAGCATAATTGGTAGGCATAAAATAGACAGGAGGAGGTTAAGAACAGTATAGGAAACAGAGAGGTCAAAGAACTTCTATACACAATTCATGGACATGAACTAAGGGAGGGGGGAATGCTGGAAGGTGGGGGTGTGCAGGGCAGAGGGGGGAGAAGGGAGAAAAAATTGGGAAAACTAATAGTGTAATCAAGAAAATATACTTTTTAAAAAAGCAATTTAAAACCAAACTAGCTTTACTGATTAATTAACTTACTGATTGATTGATTGATTGATTGATGGTCATTCTTCTGTTTTAGATAATCCAACGTTTAAAATAGCTTTTACCAATTTTATCATCACTGACACTTTGGACAAGAAAATCGTTTCTTATAGAGAGCTGTCCTGTGTATTTTAGGATGTTTAGTAGCACCCCTGGCCTCTATCCACTTGATTTCTGTCATGATCATCAAAAATGTCTCCAGATATTGCAGACATTCCCCCTGGGAAACAGGATTGCTTCTGGTCAATATCTACCTCATTAAAGAATAACACGGTCTTTTTTTACTGCTTTTTATTTACACATCTAACTCCTTAAGAATGGTAACTCCATATTCTATATTTTTACATTTCTACATATTACAGGTCAAAACTACATAGAGTTAATGTTCAATAAAATTTTTGGTATATGGGAATGCTATGACTGTGTTTCTTGCCCTGCAGTATCACATATCAAAAAACTGTCCTTATCAAGAGAAAGGACTAAGTCGGTTTCCTACTGGAAAGTTGGTAAGTTTAAATCTTTCAAAACATCCTATGAAAACAACAACTTGATCTGCACACTGGACTTACAAGGCTTACAGTTTTGTTATATAGGACAATGGCTCTCAACTGGAGGTGATTTTGTCTCCCAGGGAACATTTGCCAATGTCTGGAGACATTTTCGGGTGTCACAGCTGGGGGAAAGGGTATCTAGTGGGATGCTGGTAAACCTCCTATAATGCACAGGACATCTCCACAACAAATAATTATCCAGTCCAGTGTATCAACATTTTGACAGTGCTAACAAGGAGCTCTGCTATATTGGAAGAATTATGCACTGTGCTTTTTCTTGGCTATGTGGGCTTTTCCTTTGGAGAACATAATCAAATCTCTGTTCTTCTTTCTCACAGCTGCTCATGGCACAAGTTCCTAAGATGCATGCTTACGATCTTTCCCTTCCTAGAATGGATGTGTATGTATCGATTCAAGGACTGGCTTCTTGGAGACTTACTTGCTGGTATGAGTGTTGGCCTTGTGCAAGTTCCCCAAGGTAAGGAAGATAGAAAGCCTTTCACCCCCAGACAACGTGTCAGACCTTGTTCACTCACCCAGAGTAAACAATTCTATGACATGAATAGAAAAAAATGAGAATTCCATTCACATCATTACCATTTGTTCCCTTACCTGCCAGATTTCTAACTCAGAATGGTTCCAAAATACTTGGTTTAGTTTGCACCCCTGAATACTTGCATCTGTAATACCCATTTATGGTCTTTTTTTTTTTTTTTGCTTAACTAGATATTTCAGAGTCACTTGAGTACAAAAGACCTTATCGGCACTGGTTTTACTTATAAAGGTAAAGGATAGGAAACATGGCATGCTGGCATCTCTTTGACAAGTCACATGCACATCATTCCAGGGGCTACTCTTTGGTCTTCCAGGTAGCAGTTCAGACTTAAGGCAACAAGATCATTCAGATAGGTCGAGAGCTATCTGGACTTTAGAAGCCTCATTTCCCAAACAGTACCAACCTCTCTGGGAATTTTCATTAACACTTGCTTTCTGGGTCTCACAGGTAACATGCCCAGTTACAAGATCATCGTGCTCAGAGAAGCCAAAGCGAGGGCCTCCCACTGGATACTTATCCTTCATTCACATTCTCTGAGTCCGGACAGAGTACACTGGTCATGCTCATTTTCACCATAACCAGTGTTGGCTGGTAACACAGCTGACATTCCACTGTTACCAGGTTTTAAAAAAATGACAGCTAGAAAGTTAACTCAATAAATTTATCCACAGAGAAAGAGGAAGGACTTCATTAATTCTTTACTCACAGTGGTTCACAGTTCCCTACATAGTCTTCGAACACCTCTAGTTCTCTACTTTTCTGGGACCGAACAGGCAGGATTGAAACCTGTGATTACACAGGTTGTGCACAGCATAGAAGGACCAGCCAAAGGGGCAAGTGGTAGCTTTCTGACATAGGACTGTTCATTGGGGGAAAGGAATCCCTTTCTTTAAAAAATCGTCATACAGTAAAACTGACTTCCTTTTGGTGCACAGTTCTTTGGAGTTAAACACATAATTAGATTTGTGTAACCACCACTACAGTCAAGATACCTAACAGTCCCATCAGCCTCAAATCTCTCTTGTGCCAACCCTTTCAGTCACGTCCTCCTAACCTCGAAGCCCCCACAAGCACTGATCTGCTCTCCATCAACATAATGCTGTCTTTTTTAGAATATCATGTAAGTGGACTCATACAGTATGTAACTTTTGAAGGCTGGCTTCTTTAATTCAGCATTAGGTCTTTGAAATTAATGCAAATGGTTATATACATTGATACTTCGTTCCTTTTCATTGCTGAGTAATATTCCATTGTATGGCTGTACCACAGTTTATTTATTCCGTCACCTGTTTTTGATGGGCATTTTGTTTCCAGTTTTTGGCTGTCGCAAATAAAGTTGCTATGAACATTCGTGTAAAGATTTTTGTGTGAACGTGGTTTCATTTCTCTAAGCTAAATACCCAGGAGTGGTACTGTTTATCATGTAGTAAAGTGTGTGTTTAACTTTATAAGAAACTGCCAAACTATTTTCCAGGGTGGCCGTACCTACCATTTTACATGTCCATCAGCAATGTAGATGCCCTTTGCAAGGTGAAGGAACTGCATCTACTCTAGTTTGCTGAGAATTTTTATGATGAGTGGATGTTGCATTTTGCCATCTGTTTTTTACTTCATGTATTGATATGATCATGTGGTTTTTATCTTTAGGCGGCTAACATGGTAGATTATATTAACTGAGTTGCAAATATTGAACTGCCAGGTGCAAACCAAAGTGATCCACTTGTATGAGCACATCCACGTCCAGGAAGGCATCAGAAAGTCTCCCACGTTCCTGTGGTGCTGCAATGAGCAGCCTCAACTCTAGGCACTAAGGCTTTAACTGGCATCCCCTATGCACTTGCACTTATCAAAGGCCCTTCACTTATGACCAAAGTTTGAGGACATCCTATTGCTAAATTATCAACTCATCAGCATGATTCAGTACTAAAATAAGAATAATATTAGGATGTATAAGCATCCCTGGCATCCAGCACATAACTATATGAATGAGTAAACTCTTGCTAAGAGATTGTATGTTATTTTAAGTAGTATGAATAATGAAATAATTTGCAGTGTGAATAACTCAAAAGTTTTACTTAAATAGGTAGTACCTAATGACTTAATAATTTTCTTCAAATGAAATAAAAATACTACATGGTAAAGTCCTTATTTAAAATGTTCTGGATCTTTTGTATGGTGAAATTCCCATTCATAAATGTAAAAGAAAACAGAAAATCACCATTAGAGAAACATCACAGTGATAATTGTTGTAGATAAAATCCCCCCCAGTTGTTAAAATTAGTGGGTAAAATTTTGTAAGCCTTGAAATAGGATTTGCATAGTTTCAAAGTATCTTCCTCTGCTACCCCACTACTCGACAGCAGAGATTTGGTGGGACCACTTTAACCATGTAAGATCAGTGCTGTCACCACCAGCAGTAGGACACACGGAGATCACAAATCCTGGGGCTTGATGGGCCAAGAAGACACAGCATCATTTCTGTGGAATTCTCACCAAAAATGGATATGTTAGTGCAATGACGAGGAAACTGAAGACAACCCCCACTTACAGGACATTTGACAAAAAACTGATTTATTAATATTCTTCCAAAGTGTTAATGTCAAGAAAGACAAATGAAGTCTGAGGAACTATTACAGATTGCAGGGCTAAGGAAAAATAACAACTAACTGCAATGTAGGGCTCTGCATAAAATCCTGGAACAGAAAAAGGAAATTAGTGGTAAAACCAATGAGATTCAAGTCAAATCTTTAGTTAATTTCTGATGTTAATTTCCTGGTTCTGATCATTATGATTATGTAAAATGTTAACATTAGGGGAACCCACGTAAGTGATATGTGAAAACCTTGTCACTTCTATAAGAATGAAACTAATTGTTCAAAATTTAAAAGTTTTTCAGGGTATTGGAAAATTTGGAAACTTGGCTTCCCTCTATTTCTCCACAGCCTAAGCTTAACTGAGACTGGGCAACTTAGCATCAGGCTGTTACCAACTCATTCTCTTACCTTCCCTGTATTGGTAAGTTGTTCGAAACCCTACATTTCAAAAGACTCCCTCTTCATGCTAATATTGCTCATCAAGAGCAAATAGGGGTTGTTCAACATTATACTGCAATTTATAGGCAGGATATTAAAGCAAGAAAATGAAATATAAGGTATATGGTTTGTAAAGAAAGAAAACTTTATTATTTATATATTTTTAAATATAGAGAATTAAAGAGAGTCTACAGAAAAGTTAATACAATTCATAAGATTTTATCCAGGTTGCTGGATACAAGATCAGCATATAAAAATCAATTACATTTCTTTATACCTGCAGAAACCACAGTGAAAAAAAATAAAATATACAATTTACAAAAGCACAATAAATATGAATTGTTGTAATGAAACAAGAGAAATGCATTTTACTTAGTAATATTAATAAGGACCTAAATTTATAAAAGATATGTACTTGTAGCTTAGAAGACTCAATATTTAAAAATTTCAGATCTTTAAAAATTGATTTATAAATTTGATAGAATCTCAATGTAAATTCTAAGACTTTATAATAAAACAGTAGCAGATTCTACAATGTATGTAAGCCAAGAACAGCCAATTTTTTTAAAGAAAAACATGGGCAGACTTGCTCCTCCAGCTATCAAGACAACATAAAGTTATAATATCTTTTAAGATAATGCACAGCAAAGGTAGAAAGAATAAATAAACATTCATATGTGGATATGCTGAAATACACAGAAGGAAAATGAGCAGCCTCAAGCAACTCAGCACAACATGGAACATTTTGATTATATATATATGCAACCACAAAGCTGATGTGGCCCCTGGTGAAAGTAAGTTTGACACCCCTGCACTAACTCATACGCACAAAATTAAAAATATGACAGTATCATGTGCTAATACAGAGGTAGATGATGGGAACTGTTATACAATGCTGGTGGGAGTGTAATGTACAACCATTTGGAAACAGTTTGGCATTTTCTGGTAAATGTCCCAGCAATTATGCTTCAGTGTATATTATCTCAAGGAACTTACACAGCTATGCACCAGGGGACCTGTGTGTAAGAACATGCATAGCAGTATTGCTCCTAATAGCCCCAAACTGGAAACAAAGTCAAGAGACCGCAAAAGCCCAGAGACAAAGAGAATGGGCAGTACTTCCTTGGGTCCTGGTGGCTTTTTAGTTCTCATCCTGGTCTCTGGTGCAGCCCCACTGCCTTTTATACTCTTTTAATAAACTTCCTGTTTTGCTTAAGCTAATCTGAACAGGTTTGCTGTGTTTTTGCAATCAACAGAGCCTTGCTTAGGGAAAATAATATGGAAGGGGAACCTGTAAATTACAAGAGACTTCAGAAATTTAGCAATCAATGTGAAAATCATATTTGAGCCCTGATGTACACAACAAAGATTGTAAAAGAAAGCACAACATATACTAGCAAATGATTTTTTTAAAAGTCACTCTGAAACCTACTTCATTTCTGGCTCAAGGTCTCTCACGAGGTTCCAGTTAAGGTGTCAGTCACCTCAAGGCCCTGCTGGGGCAGAGGATCAGTTTCCAGGTGCACCCATGTGCTTGCTGGCAGGCCTGGTTTTCTTTCCCTTTTCTTTTCTTTTCTGTTCTTTTCTTCCAATCCTCACTCGAGGACATGCTTATTGATTTTAGACAGGGAAGGGAGGGAGGGGGAGAGAGAGAGAGAGAGAAACGTGTATTGGTTCCGTCACACACTCCCTAACTGGGGACCAAACCTGCAATCCAGACCCATGCCCTGACTGGGAATCGAACCTGAAAACTTTTGGTTTAGGGAACGATACTCCAACCAACTGAGCCACACCAGCCAAGGCTGGCCTGGTTTTCTCACCATGTGGGACTCTCCCTTGGTTGCTTAAGTGTCCTTGCAGCACAGCAGCTGGCAGGAGCAACTGCATATGCAGGGCCCAGTGCAAAATGAAAGTGCAGAGCCTGTAGTTCAAAAATTATTCAGAATTTCAAGATGGTCAGAGTAGAGCATGAAGCCTAGGGTTCTATGCGATTGCTTCCGTCACACAGCCATGAACTCAACACAGGTGGCTGCTGACCTGCATGAAAGAGAGAGCAACCAAGATAGAAGCCACAGTCTTCTTGCAACCCAATCTCGAAACTAATATCGTATCATTTTTGTTGTTGTTTGTTTATTAGAAGCAACTTACAAGTTCCACCCCACACTTACAGGGTAGGGATCACACAGGGCACGGACACCAGTTAGCCACTGCGGGCCTTTGACCACAGCAACCGTGTGTGAGATAAGCAGGGAAATGTGAACATGGACTGGATATCTGATAATGTTAAAGGGCCGTTATTTTTTAGGTATGATGATGATATTATAGTTGAGTTAAAAGAGGGTCTTCGTTCAACCTTCCTGTCCGTCCCCTCTCCTTCCCTTCCCCTCCAAAAAAAGAGGGTCTTTTTTTAGAGATACATACTGAAATATTTACAGATGAAATGATTCCATGACTTCGGGCTTGCTTCGAAGTAAGGTGGAGTGGGAGAGAGTAGGGGCATCGGTGAAACAGGCCTGGCCATGCCTTGACCATTGAAGCAGGTGGTGGATACACAGGAGTTCGTTGTACTGTTTTTGTATATGATCAAATGTTTGCATTAAAAACAAAAAGCCTTGCTTGTCCAAGGCAGTAAATTGGCTCAGTGGGCCCTCTGGTGTGATCTGAGTTGAGGCCCTCAAGGGCGGGAGGTATGGGGCTTGAGACATCAAAAAGATGACAGCGTGCATGTTAATCTTTTTGCTTCAAAATTTCCTGATTCTCATGGTGCTTTTTAGAAAAGAATGTAAGTATTGAAGAAGGAGCTGGAGGAAGAGATGAGACTGATTAGGAGGAACAGACACAACACATATCGAGTTGGAGTCAAGTCAGTTAAGTGTGATTCTCACCTTGCTCTTCAGCTCTGTCGTCAGTCCTGGGGAATTAGCAGGGCCTTCTTGTACTAGGCTGGGGGTGGCAGAGGGGCTGCTTCTGAGTCGCTGGAAGTTAAGGTCTCATTGCTGTGATGTTCTCTTTCCATGAAGCATGAAAACCTCGCAGTGAAAGGTGTTTAAGCCTGTGATGTATAACTGAGGTGTAAAACCATTTGGTACAATACAAAAAAAGGAGATAATAAAAGGTACTAATTAAAGGCTGTATGCCAAGGAACACTAATACCATACTCAGTCAGCTATATATGTAGATCATGTTTATTTTAAATATTCTTTACAGTTTTTATTTAAGATGACTTTTAAAAGCCAAGCTACATTTTCTTACTTAAATTGTCTTGCTTTTCAGTCCTGACATTCAGTTTGCTGGCAAGGCAATTGATTCCACCTCTCAATGTCTCATACGCAGCTTTCTGTTCTTCAATACTTTATGTGATTTTTGGATCATGTCATCAAATGTCTATTGGTGAGTTCAGCCCTGGAACCACACAAGGTGGATAAGTCCCTACCTCAATTATTGACTTATTGCTAAGGAACCCAAGTGAAAGCTATATTTGAGGTAGAAAGGAGACAGGGTGGACATTCTATTCACAGGATTAGTGTTTAGGTTTTAGAAATGGAACACTTCTAGTGTGTGGTTATTAATGCCACCGCCAGATAAGCAGGCCAGAAAGCTGTTTCCCAAAGGAATGAAAGGACATCGGGGTCTGGCTGCCCTCAACCAGGAAGATCCAGAGACAATTTTGCCCATTCTTTGAGAGTGGATCCATCTCTCAGCTGGGCCCATGATAACCAAACTTTGTGGGCCTGACTTATAATTATCACGTCAGCTTATAAATTTACAGTGAGAAAATGCTGTCACAGCAATCAAAACACTCAAATCCATAGGATGAGCACTTTCTTTCTCAGATCCCAAAGTCCATCTACTAATTAATAATTGAAAATGACTGTTACAGGAACCAGACTAGTTAAAGGTCATATAATCAGCACATTTACTTCATGTTTACCAGTTGAACCTGCATGGGAATCAACTCACAAACTGCACAGCAGTCTCAGAAGGGCATGGCCAGCATTCACTCAGCGAAGTGCCTTTTCCTGGGCTTCCCCACTCAGCCAACACTGAGAGTTTTGCCTACCTTTTCTCCAGATGTGTGTGTTCAATCTGGAACCATCCCATTCTTCTAGGTGTGCAGTGCTACTGTGCCTTTTGAAACGGCAACATAACATATTTTTTACTAAAATCCATTATGTGTTGACTTTATATTTGAACATGAGAGAAAAATTTCATTCCTGTATTCCCAAGACACATCACAATTATTTCTAAATACTGATAACAAGGCCTAGTAGAGTTTTGTTTCTGCTAGGCAATTTAAAAGTCAGGTTTGCCTTTGCTCAAATACCCATATGTATGTTGATATGAAGACTAAATGAAATTATCTGTGAAACAGTTGAGCTAAGTCTCGTTTTGCACCCAGTAAATTTTTCACAAGTGTTAAGTATTCTTCTCCTTACAATATTATGGTTTAGCCTTGTTTTCTGATACTTTCACCACCACCTCTAAGAGCAGGAGCAGTGGCTGAACCTGGTACGCGTTTCCGGTCCACACTCTCTGTTCCCCACTCTACCTGCCCGCAGTGAAAGAGGTTATTGTCTGGACCACCAAAATCTAAGTGCTGGGAATTGGTCACAGTTCATGGAGCCAGAGGTTTTGTTTTGCCTTTTTTTTCTCTCTTTCTTCTCCATGGCCACATTAAAATAAGAAAAGTTCTTCAGATCAAGGACAAAACAACATAAGATCATGCCTTGAGTTTGTCAATATCTTCAGTTTACCTGGACTTAAAACCTTACCTTCTGCCTAAACATCTTCTTTCATAGGACCCTTCTTCCTTTTGAGCACGCTGGTGATCAATGTCCTGAAGCAGCACCCATTCAACAGTGGCCACCTGATGCTGGGGTCTTTCATCAAACAGGACTTTTCCAACCCCTCCTTCTTCACGGCGTATAACAGATCCTTGAGTGTGGTGGCATCCACAACATTTCTGACTGGGGTTATTCAGGTAGGACCTGCGTCTCCAAACCTCTGAAGGAGAAATAAGTAAAGGGGCTACCAGTAGACCCCTGCCTCTAATTGTTCCTGCTACCCACTGTGATACACATGGAACTTCAGTGACTCATTTCTGGAAAACTTGGGGGATGTGTGAATAGCCTATTCCAAAACCTTCTCCCTTGCCAGAAATCATCCACCATTGATTTTATTTTTGTTTTTATTACTCAAAACAGCTTCAGTTTTTAATTTAGTTTTCTGACTCTGTGCTTGTGCCTTCAATACTGTCACATGATTTTCTGCTCCTCACTAAGAAAGCAGGCTTGGTCCTGCCACAGATGCATTTAGCACACATGGGCCCACCACAGGCCCTGCTGGCATATTTTTCCTTTCACACCACCTCACTAGAACCTTAGGTCTCATAGCACGAACTCCACGAAGTCGGCCTGGGTGCACACCACATGCAGACTGTGGTGCTTCCCAGCATTCTTGGTGTAAAAGTAACCAATTCTGTTCCCAGGGGTTCAGGACAGCCTAGTTTTGTTAGAGGGGGTACTGTAGGACAGCCGCCACCAGTATGTCAAACCCTGGGCCTCTGTGAATGCCTGGAGACACTGTCTCCATCCACCATTAATTTTGGATGAGATACTGCACATACTGACCAATCCCTTCTCTAAGATTAAAGAGGGGCCCTAGTAGATTTCATGTTTTTAAAAATTCCTCTGCATCCTTTCAGTAAGAATCGCATTGACAGGCTCAAATACGATGTCCTGGGTTGGTAAACACTGGAGTCAGACCTGGAACCCTTTCCTGCAATGATAGGACCGCAGCTCAAGGACAATAATATCAATGACTTATTAAAATATTGAAGTTTATTTTTTGGCAATGTCTTTCATTTTTCTCTGAGAATATACCATTTAAAGCTTAATCCACCTATCTAAAATCACATATTACAGGTTTATTTCCCTTTCTTCTCAACTAGCCTACTCTCTAGCCAATTTTCACTGATCTATCCTGGGACCATCTTTCATTAGGTTAGAATTTATTGAAAGCCTACAGAAGCAAGTTATCATGGTGGGCTGACCCCAGCCCTGACATTTGCCAGATGCATGGAACATACTTAAATTATCTTACCTTTGTGGGCCTTAGTTGTCTCAAGCATAAGATGGGAAGAATAATATTTGTTTTCTGGGGTTCTTGTCAGGATTAAGTGAGAAGATGCATGTCATACTCAGCTGAGAACCTGTCACTTAGTAGGCCCCATAAATTACAATTACTGACAACAGAGAAATAAGTTTAGTACTTTAACAGAGAGCAAAATATTTTTAAAAGAGATAATTCCTGTATTGTAGAAAAAGACGAAATAGCAGGTGATAAGTCAGTAACCTATCAATAATCTAAAGGTCTTGAGCATGTTCTGCCCCCTCCTTTGAGCCTCAGTTTTTTCATTTAAAAAAGGAGACATTCCATATTCAGGAAAATGGAATAAATGTACTTTTCCCTATTCCTCTTGCTAAGTACAACTAAAAACCTTGGAACCTTATATGTAAAACAAATGTAAGAAAATTCTGAAAAGTGAAGAGAAGAAAGCAAATGGGCTTGGAACCTCAGGACACTGGAAGAAACACAGTGATGAGTTTCTTTTTTTGCCTCATATATCTTAATCTTCATGCCGAAGAGGCCAGAAACCCAAAGTACCAATAGGTGCAGACAAAAAAAAAAAGCCCCAAATGAAAATCTGCCACAGGACCAGGATAGGCTAGCGAGATTGAAAACATCAATGCACTGACTGGTCTACTCCAAACACCAACAAAAAAATAGAATTATGCTATCACCTCCATTCATGTCAGCAGAGGCCAAGTGGGAAGCCTAGGCTTCCACCCTCACTTACCTGTAATGAGGTGCTCACCGGATCCCAACTGGGATATTATCAGAGAAGGCTAAATAGAGAGTCAGAACTCTCATCCCCCGGACAGTAATGAGACACCCCTCCGACTCCATGCTGGGTGACGTAGGAAGGCAGAGTGAACAGTCAGGTCTTTCACCCCCGCACAGCAGTAATGAGGACAACCTCCCTCTGCTGTGATGTTCATGTGGGAAGAAGTAAAGACATTCCTGTCCATCCCAGCCAGAATAGTATGAGTGGAGGCTTAGTGTACAGCCAGAAATCTCACTCCTGCCCAGCAACACTGGAGAGTCCCTAGTGCCTCAGGTGTCAGTGGAGGCTGAGAGGAGAACCTGGACTTCTATCTGGCAATAACATGGTGGTACCTTCTCCTTCCCCTGCCAGCACTTTGTCAAAATAAGCTAGCTAAAACAGAAGGCTCAAATACGATCCAGAGTCTCATAACACAGTACCCAAAATGTATGATTGAATTGGAAAATCACTTGTCATATTAAGAACAAGAAAAATTTAAACTTGAATGAAAAAAAGACAATTAAAAATATTCTGACACTGAGATGACAGAGACATTAAAATTGTCTGGAAATATTTTAAAGCAGCCATCCTAAAAGTGGTTCAGCAAGCAACTATAAACATATTTTATAAAACTGAAAAAATAATCTATTCTCAGCAAATAAATAGAAAATATAAAGAAAAACCAAAATGGATATTTTAGAACTGAAAAATACAATAAACAAAACTAAAAATTTAAAGGCTGGGCTGAACAGCAGAATGGAGGAGACAGAGAAAAGAAGCAATGAACTTTAAGAAAGAACAATAGAAATTACCCAATCTGAACAAAATAGAGAAAAAATAGACGGAAATAAATTAATTGAGCCTCAGGAATAGTGGTATGATCTAGCATTTGTGACAAAAAGAGTCCAGAATGAGAGGAGAAAAAATATGAGGCTGGATTACTTAAAGAAATAATAGCTAGAAAAAATAAAACTATTTTTATTTTTTTTAAAGAAATAATAGCTGGAAACTCCCCAAATTTGGCAAAACATCTAATCCTATAGATTCAAGAAGTTGAGAAAATCCAAAAAGTAAATCCATAGAAATGTACAACAAGACAAATCATAGTCAAAGTTCTGAAAACTAAAAACAGTGGAAAAAATCTTGAAAGCAGTAAGAGAAACTCTTTACCTATAGGGGAAAAACAATTCAAATGATAGCAGATTTCTTATCAGAAACTATGGAGGCCAGAAGGAGGTGGAATAGCATCTTTTGTTCAGTGAAAGAAAAGAACTGCTAATCCAAAATCATATACTCGGATTTCCGCCAAGATGGAGGCATAGATGGGAACACTTTGCATCCCAAATCTAAAAACAACAAAGTTTTAACAATAATAAACGCAACCAAACCACACAGGAAATCAAATACGGAGTCTGAAAACAACAAACTGCTTAGCTAAACTGGTGAGAGGGGCAAAGCCAGCAGTGGAGCAGGTGGGGCAAAAAAGATCCCCGGACTTGGGCAGTGCACAGGACACGAAGGGTGTGGATCCCAGGTGCAGGGTAGCTATGGGTGGACCCAGGGAAGAGGCGCGGCTGGCTGTCTGCAGCCGTGCGTGCAGATAACCAGTGAAAAGACAAGCGTTGAGACAGATTGTGCAGGCCCCAGTGGCCAGCGCAGGACAGCAAGCTCGCACATTTGCGCTCGGATAAGCAGGCGGGGGCAAGCGGTGAGGCGGAGTGGGCGAGGGGAGAGGACCGCCAGTTCTCCCTCTCTGACCCCACCCCCACATACAGCGTCACAAACCAGCGACCTGGGTGGCCCCACCCTGGTGAACACCTAAGGCGCCTCTCCTCATACATAACAGGTACGGACAGATCAAAACATGGCTCAAGAACAACTCAGAGCCCCAGAGTCAATAAATCTAAGCGATGAAGAAATGGCAAAACTTTCAGATGCATAGTTCAAAACACTGGTGATCAGGATGCTCACAGAACTGGTTGATTTTAGTCACAAATTAGAGGAACAAATGAAGGCTAAACTAATTGAAATGAATGGAAATACACAGGAAACCAATAGTAATGGAAAGGAAACTGGGACTCGAATCAATGGAGCAAACCAGAAGGAAGGGAAAAAATGACCAAACATAAAAATATGAAGAAACAAGAATTCAAAAAAATGAGGAGAGGCTTAGGAACCTCCAGGACATCTTTAAACGCTCCAACATCCGAATTATAGGGGTACCAGAAGGAGAAGAGGAACAGTTATGAGTGGAAACCTTATTTGAACAAATAATAAAAGAGAACTTCCCCATTCTGGCAAAGAAAATAGACTTCCAGGAAATCCAGGAAGCTCAGAGAGTACCAAAGAAGTTGGACCCAAGAAGGAACACACCAAGGCATATCATAATTATATTAGCCAAGATTAAAATGAAGGAGAGAATCCTAGAAGCAGCAAGAGATAAGGGGACAGTCACCTACAAAGGAGTTCCTATCAGACTGTCAGCTGATTTCTCAAAAGAGACCTTACAGGCAAGAAGGGGCTGGAAAGAAGTATTCCAAGTCATGAAATCCAAAGACCTACAACCATTTTGCTCTATCCAGCAAAGCTTTCATTCAGAATGGAAGGGCAGATAAAGTGCTTCTCAGATAAGATCAAATTCAAGGAGTTCATCATCACCAAGCCCTTATTATATGAAATGTTAAAGGGACTTACCTAAGAAAAAGAAGATAAAAAAGATGAACAGTGAAAGGACAGCAAGCTCACAGTTATTAACAACCATACCTAAAACAAAAGCAAACCAAGAGGACAGCTAGATCAGGAGTGAACCATAAAAATGAAGATCACATGGAGGGTTAGCAACAGGGAAGTGGGAAAAGGAGAAGGGGAGAGAAGGTACAGGAAATAAGTAGCATAGACAGTAGATAGAAAATAGATAGGGGGGAGGGGAAGAATAGTAGGGGAAATATAGAATCCAAAGAACTTGAGACACATGTTCATGAACTAAAGGGGGGAATGGTGGGGGAGGGGTGTGCAGGGTGGAGGGGAACAGAGGGGAGGAATAGAACAAATGTAATGGCATAATCAATAAAATAAAAATAAAAGAATAAAAAAAGAAAAAATCATATGCTCACTGAAAATATCATTCAAGATGAAGGAAAACTAGGAGAATTTGTCATAAGCAGACCTACCCTAAGAAAATGGCTAGAGAAAGTTCCCTAAGAAATAAACTAACCCTTTCATCCCAGGCACATGCAGCAGCAGTTCCCAGCGGCAGAAAGGCAACCACATTGATTTCCTCCCTCTCTCCTTCCCTTCCCCTCTAAAGATAAATAAATGAAATCTTAAAAAAAAAAGAAATTAAATGATAAAAGAAGCATTCTTGAAACATCAGGAAGAGTGAAAGAGTGAAAATGTGAATAAATACAATAGATTTTTCTTATCCTCTTGGGTTTTCTAAATTATGTTTGATGGTTGAAGCAGAATTATAACACAATTCTTTTATAAACATAAAGAGAGGTAAGGTTTCTATAATTTGCTTGAACTGGTAAAATATTGATACCAATAGACCGTAGTAAGTTATATACATATAATGTAATACCTAAGGCAAGCACTAAAGAAGTTATACAAATAGATACTTCAAAAAATATAGACAAATAAAAATGGAATTCTAGAAATGTTCATGTAGCCCACCAAAGTCAGGAAAAAGAAAGAGAGAAATGAAAACAGAACAAACAGGAAAAATAACAGACATAAGCCCCAATATAGCAACATTTACACTAAAGATAGAGGTTGACATGTTTTAAAATATGCTGTCTATAAAAAACATCAAATATAATGATATAGACAGATTGTAAGTAAAAGAATAGAAAGATTTAATACAAATATGAATCAAAGGAAAGCAGAAGTGACTCTATTAATATCAGATAAAATAGATCTCCAAGCAAAGAAAATCACCAGAGGTAGAGGAGGACATTATACAACGACCAAAGGCTCACTCTCCCAAGAAGACACAGCAGGTCTACGTATATACGCACCCAGCAAGAGAGCTACAAACTATGCGAAGCAAAACTAATAGAACTGAAAAGAGAAACAGACAAATTCACAGTTACAGTTGGAAATTTCAATACTCCGCTCAATAATTGCTCAAACAACTAGACAGAAAAGCAGCAAGGAAATAATAAAACTCAACAACACTATTGACTAACGGGGTTTAAGAGATATTTACAGAACAGTTCATCTAATAAACAGCAGAACACACATTCTTTTTAATGACTCATGAAACATATACCAAGATAAATCATATCCTGAACCATACAACTAACCTCAATAAATTTTAATGAATTAATATTACAGTGTGTTCTCTGACCACAGTGGAATCAAACTAGAACTCAGTAACAGGAAGTTAACAGGAAAATCTCCAAATATTTTGATATTAAACAACATACTTCTAAATAACCCACAGGTTAAAAAGTAAGTCTCAAGGAAAAATTTTAGAAAATACATTAGGCTAAATGAAAAATAAAAATGCCAAAATTTGCAGAACACAGCTGAAGTAGTACTGAAAGGGAAAAAGGGAAATTGATAGCATTAAAATGCATACAGTTGAAGAAAAATGGGCTCGAATTAATAGTCTAAGCTCCCACCTCAAGAACCTAGAAGAACTAGAACAAATTAGATCTAAAATAAGCAGAAGTAAGGAAATAATGAAGAACAGAAATAAATTAGATTGAAAATACGAAGGCTTACATACTCATGTTCCTATGTAACATTCCTGAAATGGCAAAGTTATGGGAACAGAAAACAGATTGTTGCCAGGGACAAAGGATGAGGGTGCAGGTAGGAGAATGAGGTTGGGAGTAGGGATGGGAGGTGAGAGGCAGGCAGGGTGTGGCTATAGGGGATCAACAGGAGGGATCCTTGTGGTGATGGAATCATTGAGCATCCTAATTGCGGCATCGCACTCTAGTTTTTCACGATGTTACTATTAGGGAAAATCAGGTAAAGAGTGCACCAGGTTTCTTGGTTTTGTTTCTGACAAATGCCTATCAACTCACAATTGTCAAAAATAAAAAGTATAAATTTAAAGATCTCTAAACTATATGACAATGTCTAACATTTATTGCTATGTGCTAGTCATTGTTGAAAGCACTTTACATATATTATGTCTTTTGATTCTCATAACTCTCCCTTTTTGAGGGCAGATATTACTATGGTCCTTATTTTAAGGAAACAAATGTACAATGAGGTTAAGTGAATTAGTAATTTAACTAGCTAGTAAGATCCCAAACTGGAATTTAGGCTCAGAGGTGATCTACCTCCAGAATCTGTGCTCTAGATAAAGTACAAACTAATATTAATAGAAATGAAGAGTTTAGTGTCATAAACATATAAAATAAAGGAATAATCTTTAGTTGTATTGGAGTTGTGTGGGAAGTAACCATTTGTTTAGCCTTTCATTCATTGAACATTTAGTGCTTGCTTTCTATAAGAATGGCAGATGGGTTTCATGTCACAAGACAAGTCTGAGTGATTGACAATGGCTTCCTAGAAAACTATGTTAATACAGATTCTGATACCACATAACAGCTGGGCAAGAAAGAGTTCTATGGTTATAGATAAGAGAGGGGACCCCCAAAACCAGAATTATTTTCTGGAGGACAGGCTCCTTGTAGTACAGGCTTCCCCCACTAAACAAGTGTTCTAGGAACCCATGTGTATCAGTATACCAGCTGGTGTTGTTGTGAGAGGCTGTGTTAGGCTTCAGTGAATTGTTTCTAAAGACTCAAGGCATTTGCCCACTTCATGGTGGGTGATTTATGAGCACACTTGCACACATCACACTGAGTGTTCAGCAGTTTTTGACTAAAAATGACATGACCCCCTGCCCCACCCTCCCTATTCACCTGATCTCACCCCAAGCAACTTTTTTTTTATTTCCCTGTATGAAAAAGTATTCAAAGGGAAATGTCTTGCTGATGTGGAAGAGGTGAAACCAAAAAATGGCAACACTAAAAGACATCAAAATCAACAAGTTCAAAGAACTGTTCTGAGCACTGGAAAAAATGTCTCAGTAGGTGTATTGCATCAAATGGACAGTATTTTAAAGGTGACTGAAGTTTAAACATGCAAGAATAAGTACACAATTTTTATAAATAAATTCTGTTTTGAGGGTGTCCCTCTCTTGTACTTCCCACTTACAAGGTGGCAGGAAAGTATGGCATGAAGAATGAGTGACAGGTATTTGTATTTGGTACTATTTTCAGATTTGAGCTAAGTGTTTTACACATTGTGTAATGTAATCCACTTGAAACATAATGTGTTATTATTCACAATTTATAGATTAGTGAACTGAGGCTCAAAGAATTTAGTTAACGTGTCCAAACTCATACAACCAGGGAGTGGCAGAGTTAGGGTTGAAGCCAAGTTCTCCATCCCCAAGAACCCTGCTCTTTTCATCACGCTTCCTAAAGAAGAGGTGTTCTATTAAGCTCTTGAAAGAGGTGATGGACATGGATTGCCAAAGATGCCAATAAAAGAGGGGTTCATGCCCTCACTGGTGTGGCTCACTTTGTTGGGTGTCATCCTGCAAAGTGAAAGGTCCTTGGATCATTTCCAGTCAGGGCACATGCCTGCATTGCGAGGTTTGACCCCAGTGTGAGTGATTAGGAGAAGCAACTGACTGATGTTTCTATTCCTCTCTTTCTCTTTCTCTTTCTCTTTCCCTTACCCTACTCCTAAAAAAATAAATAAATAAAATCTTTTTTAAAAGAGGGGTTCATGCATAAGCACAGAAGTAGACTTCAGCCAATCACAAAAGACAGAAAGTGGATTGGCCCGATTAGAGTAGAGGGGCGTATTGAGTCGTAGTGACCAAAGGTTAAGGCTGAGACACGGCACCCAGTTGATGGGAAGCTTTGAAACAAAAAGCTTTTAAAGCTAAAAGATTTATTCCTCCAAGTTTGTTTTCTGAGAGCGTCTAGTCCAGTGGAAGATAAAGTGGTGACAATAGCAAGCTTCAAGATTTTGGGGTGTTTTTCCCGTCTTCTTCATGAGCCGTGCCAGTTTCTGAACCTACTCTCTTAAGGGGGTTGGGGTCCACCTTTCATGCATCAATTTTCCAATTGTGTTTTTATCATTAAAGATGGGCATTTATATTGTAAAAATCTCAAATAACAAGGTATAAATTATAAAGTATTACAACTAACTTTTCATCCCATTCCTCACAGATGACTTCTATTAATAGTTTGATATTTGTACTTAAGATCCTGTGTATATTTAGAAATATACACAATTTATTTTATTATATATAACATTTAAAATATTTATGTTTTATATGCATATGTGCATGTAAAATACTATTCTATACACATATATAACATACATATAACCCTGAAGACATATATTCCATTTAATTACTCTTAGTAAAGGTAAGAGTGAAAGCCCAGAAGTTTGAGTCGGAGCTCAAATTGTTTAAATTGTCTTTTCCATTTTGAAAAGCTTCATTCCTCACAGGAATGTTAATGTCTCCTGGAAAGGGTTCTCAGAGCTTCTAATGAAAAGGCTCTTCAGGAAGGCAAAGCATATTCTGATTACTCTGTTACCGTTAACCTTAAGTCAACAAGGTCCGTGGATTCTAGAGCCAAAAATTAAGCTTAGGTGCTTGTGAGGGAAGAAAGAAGTGTGGTCTGGTGCCCATAGGCTGCCTCCAAATGAAGGCCGAGGGTCTGCGGTGTCTCATTAATCACTGCTGACTAGGGAAGGAGAAATGGAAGAGTCACGAAAGGGGCCTGGGCTGCCTTTCCTGTTGGAAAGCCACTAAAGAGAATTTAACTGGTGACATTGCTGGCTTGATGACATTCTGCCTCTGTTTTTCTTTTTCATCTGAACCCCCTTCAGCTGTCAATGGGCATGTTAGGTTTCGGCTTTGTGACCACATACCTTCCAGAGGCTGCAATCAGTGCTTACCTGGCTGCCACGGCGATACACATCATACAGTCCCAGCTGACCTGCATCTTCGGGATTATGATTCAATTCCACAGTGGTCCTATCTCCTTCTTCTATGTGAGTAGTTTCTACTCTCAACCAAATTACAAATGTCCCTCCTCTTGCCCCCAAAAGAAGTGGATCTGAGTGGGGAGTCTCCTGCATAGGCAGCTGGGTCAGCGGGGTCTGGAAATAATTTTCTCTTTCCTCGATTTACAATCTTGATTCGTTGGAGACACCAGTTGAGGCCTGATCTCAGTTGCATTAAAGCATGTTGCCCAGCTTTTTAAACTAAAGTGATTTACACTAAATTGTGATCTTTAGTATACTATATCTATTATAATTCTTCCCATTACATGCCTCATAACAGACATGTATCCTAAGATACCTAAAGAACATAAATTAATATGTAATCCCTGAATGCAGGAATGGCATAGGAGCCAAGCTCAAGTACATATATGGTCTGGGAAAATTAATACAGATTAGGCTAACAAACGGAACTCCTGGGTCCTTTGTGTTACATTGAAATATATAAAGTGTATTCTTTCCTTTTTGGACATTACGATCTTTTAATATCAGTTTTCAACTGAAAAAATACATATTTGCTCACTCGGTCAAGACTCTTGAGCCCAGCAACACCGCCTAGGGATTTCTTATTGAACTAATCTAAAAAGTGTCATTTTCTAGATTTAAGCAATTATATATTCTTTCTAAGACTTTGTAATTTTGTTTTCTTTCAGAACTTAGTTAACTACTGTATGTCTCTCCCAAAAGCTAATTCCACCAGCATCCTACTCTTTCTAACTGCTGTTGTCACTCTGAGAATCAACAAGTGCATCAGAATTTCCTTCAATCAGTACCCCATTGAGTTTCCCATGGAAGCTTTTCTGGTAGGTGTTTTCACGCCCCAAATTCATGATTCAGATCATTTAAAGTACCTGGATTTTAAAAAATTAAATAAAAAGCAACCCAGGAAGGGAAAGACTATAAAAATAATAATTAAAAAACATGTTGAATTGTGACAAAGCAGAATACATTTAGTTTTAAATGCTAGCTTATATTTATAAAACATACTTATTTTCAAAGGACTTTCATCTATTGCCTCTTTTTAATATTATTTAAATACGAAGATTTCTCCTCCTTTTGAAAGCAATACAGGCTCATTCTAACAATTTTGCAAAACATAAAGAAGGAAAAAGAAAGAAATCCCTATAACTGCACCACCCAAAGTCAACTGCAGTTGATACTTCTAGAGTTTCAGTTATTTACCTTTTCATCTTCCAAACAAATGTATGGCAGGCCTATGCTGAGTGTTGGTGGACTTCCATCCTCTTCTCTGTAGAAGTTTTGTTTCTGTTTTGGCCTAGCTGCGGCCATGCGGTGCCTCGGCCTCCTCGTATTCCCTCCACACCACTGTACAGACACCAAAGGAGATGAGGTGTGAAAGGCATCACCTAACCCACGTCACTAATAAGTGGCAGAGCCAGGGCTCACTACTGTCTAATAATAACATTTCTTGTTTCTTACTAAAAATTCCACTGATGGCATTTGTCTTTTGCAGTTATAATTAAAATTTTCAAATGATACAGACATTTTCATAAATTAAGTTTAAGATTTTTTAAGTCAGTATTTCTCATATTAGGATAGGTGAATCTTTGGGTGTCTTCAAGAATTATTTTCCCTTTAAGAAGTGTTCTCTTGCAGAGATACTTAAAGTTTGGGAAACATCCTCGTGCTCCCCCACATTTCCCAGCCCCCCTTGCAGTTAGGCAAGACCATGTGACTTTGGAGCCAAAGCATGGGAGACGAGGTGTGAGTCCCCATGTACTTCCTTCCCCCGCTGTGATAATCATAGGGGCTGTTTGCTGGGATGACAGCATCTGCAGGTAGAATTAGCTTGAATCCCTGAGGCGCCCTTTGCAAAGAAGCTGCCCTGGAGAGACACAGACCCACAATGGACTTTGTGCAGGCAAATAACAACTTTTATATGTTAAGATCACATAGTTTCTATGTTGCCACAGCATACCTATTCTACACTAACTAATCCAGGTCTCTTCAGTTCATGCCTGAAAGAGCATGGGAACTGCTTCGGAAATTGAGACTAAGCTTTGTCTCATCACTGTTTGCCTCTCTAGAGGTGCATATTCTTTCTTCCTTGAAGTAGTTGAAAAGCTATTCATTCATAAAGAACAAAGGCTAAAGGTCCTCTTTTACAAAAAGTTTCTAAAGCACTGTGCACAAATAGTGGTGCCCTGGCACCCAGGAGGCGATGTGCAATGGAGTTTGGGGAGTGGAGTCAGAAGCAACCTCTCCTTTCCCTGGAACCCCACCCAGGTCTGGTTCCTCAGGAACCCAAGGCTTTGGAACCACCAGCAGATGGCATCACAGACGTCAGCTGTCTCATTTCGTTCAGCTTTATCAAGGTATAACTGACATATAATATTGTAAGACATTTAAATTGTGCATCCTGTTGATGTATATGTACATTGTGAGAGGATTCCCCCAACTGGTTAATTAACGCATCCATCACTTCACATATTCATCTTTTTGGGGGGTGGGGGAGAGAACATTTTAAGCTGTATTCTTTTATCGAATTTCAAATACACAGTAGAGTTATCAGCTACAGTCCTCATGTTACACATTAGTTCCTCACACCATATTCATCTCATAGTTGAAAGTCTGCACCTTTTTATCAGCTTTTTCCTATTTCCCCCACCACAACCACTTCTCTACTCTCTGTTTCTCCGTGTGTGACTGGCTTTGTTTTCAGGTTCCACATATAAGTGACACCAGGCAGTATTTGTTTCTCTCTGTCTGGCTCATTTCACTTATGATGCCCTCAGGACCTACCCACATTGTCACAAACCAGTGCTCTCTCAAGACACGTCAGCAACAGGAATGGTAGTGCTATTTTCCTTCAAGCAAACTCGAAAGCAATGAAATAGGAAAGGAGGGAAGTAAGAGCACAGAGGGTGCTGTGGGCTTACTGTGGCTGACAGATAGGTTGTGCTAAGACATCCATTTAGGGAATCTGTAAATAATTAGGATGCGCCATGAAGTGAAGTGAGGGAGGAATCTGAGGCCCAGTGATACAAGTCCTTGAAGACCCAGAATCATTGCAACTTAGATATTAAACTTTTTTGTGACTTAATTTATGCTCAGAGGTTACCGAAGTCTACAATACGCTACTTATACACTTATCAAGTGATTGGGAACACTTTCTGCCCCGTAGCATTAGAGATGCAGTTTAGAACTGGAAAAAAGACATCATATTTCCCCTGCTGGTGAGGAAAATGGGAGAAGGAAGATGATAGTGGCTCCGGCCTGGAGCATAAAGAGCTTCTCACCGCGCCCATCAAGACACTACTGTCTTGATGTGCGGCCCCAGCCTTCACACCCCCTCCAATCCGGCCTGTCCTTCAGGTGGTAGTCTCAGGTCTGAGGAACATTTTCAAGGCTGTATCTGAGATCCAGGTAACATCTACTGACAAATAATTCGAGTCCACTAGCTATAAGAAATTATATATATATATATAATTGCATATATATACCATATGTTTATCGTTTATTTGCATATCTGTAGTTAAACTGTGCAGCAAATATCAAGAAAAAAGTGTCAGTAGTAGTTGCCTTTGGGTGATTTAGTTTTGGTTGTTAATTTTTCATATTTTTTCCATTTTCCTTTATGAGCAAGTATTATCTTTACACTGGAAATAAAAGGGTTCCTTGGCTATCTGCCACACTTCTTGCCCCTTAACTACACAAAGAACAAAACTTGTCTTCTCTGACTCAAGCCATGATCCAGGTTCTTCCCTCCATTCTGAGCTTCCGCTGCCAAGGGGTCTTCATCTGGTCACAGCACCACAGCTAGAGCAGCTGCTGCCCTGCTAAGTGTCTGGTTGAACTTTCAGAGCAGATGCTGGAAAAGATTTATATGTTAGGAAAATGGGGTAAAGCAACAATATAGTTATTATTTTAAAACCTAGGCATTGAGGGCCCTGGCCAGGTAGCTCTGATGGTTAGAGCATTGTCCCAACACACTAAGGTAGTGGGTTCTATCCCTGGTCAGGGCAGATGCAGGAGTCAACCAATGAATACATAAATAAGTAGAACAACAAATCTCTCTCTCTCTCTCAAATCAATAATTAAAAAAATTAAATCCTAGGTATTGAGTTCTATTGTCCATGGTATAATTTGCCTTGATGTGAGGTCTTTACGAGGTATAACAGCAGCTAGATTATCTATTTTCCTTCTAGTTGAAATGAAAGGGAGACTTGCCACTTTAGAAATTAATGAATGGGGAGGAAAAAAGGCAAGTAATTGCTTTGCTAAAGACCTTTCATCTTATGTTATAAAATACTGTTCCATATTATTAAAGGTTAGTCAGTAACACAGTTCTCAACATACCTCAACAATCCCCAAAAGACTTATTTATATGAGCACAGCGCACCTACACCTTACTGAAAACTGAGGACTTGATACAGCTCTTACCTGAAAACATGGTTATATTTGCTCCATCAGGGTGTCCAAGCTGCAGCCCCTGGGCCCCATGCAGCCCAGGATGGCTGTGAATTCCGCCCAACACAAAATCGTAAATTTACTTAAAGTATTATGAAATATTTTTGTGATTACATGTCACAATGTATTTAATGTGTGGCCCAAGACAACTCTTCTTCTTCCAGTGTGGCCCAGAGATGCCAAAAGGTTGGACACCCCTGCCAGATGTTCATAGTTGGTATGGAAAGAGAACCCCAGGGCATTCATGTGTCCCCACTGTATGGCTGAAGCTGCCTTTCATTCAGGCTACAGTGCTCAAAAGAGCTTTGGGAACTGAAAGAGTCAGGGAGGACTTCTGCCTTCCTTGTTGCATGGAACTGGCCCTGCCTCTCTCTCCAGCCTTCATGCCTAGGGACTGACACACATTTCGTTCCCTGTCCTGCCAGAGCTAAGGGCGCCTCCACTCCTGGATGCAATACATAAAGTAATACTTACATGATTGTATGCCTTTTTTTTTAACCCCTACAGGTCCTTGGCTTCAGTGCATTTGCAAACCAGATAAATATGGCCACAGAAACCAGCAAGATGCTCATTGATATGATTCCTTATAGGTTGGTAATTTCATTTTTCAAAACAACTTTTCTCTTTCTCTTACCTTATTTTAGCCTCTGACCACATAGCTTGGTTGATATTCTCCACTAGGGGTCTCTAAGCCACAGCCCCACTGGGGTCATGAGTTTACATTCATTTTAGAACATAAAGGTTCATGAAAGGGTCTAGGACAAGCCCGTTTCCTCTCTGGTCAGCCTCTGACTCTCTTCCCATAGTTGAACTGGTCCCCTTTCCCAGGTAAATCATTGGAGGCATGGAGTATTGGAGAGACTCATGTTTTCTCCCTAAGATGCTACGGGCCTTCTCAACCTCCATGCCTATCTGATTAACTCTCAAGGATGGGACAAGGGATGCCTCTGTTTTCCTAGCCTCTCTCCTGGGTCTGGGTGCTCATGAGATGAGCATTCCTTCTGTCTTCAGCCACTTAGACTGAATCGGTGTTCTTGAGTAACACTGTGCTATTACTCTGAGTAGAAAGATATCCTCAACTAGTCTGGCATATAGAGTTCTTAGGGACTCACCTTCATTTACATTATAATTCCTACCAGTGACTATGGGGCCTCACTCTCGCTTCTGTTGGGGAGTTATAATTTCTTTAACCTTGATGAGATGGTCACTTTAGCTAAGAAAGGCAATATACTGCAGTTTGTTGACCAACAGGCAGGCTTTTGAAGAGCATTGTTCATTTCCTCGTGCAGTTCAGTAGGGAGTTCGGTAAAGAGTTAGAGATGTGCACTGGTCCCCAGGGTCACAAAAGAGGCTACTTTGACAAACCAGACTGAATAGCCTACAGTTCTCGGTGACACCTGGTGATGGCTAAATCCATCTGAAATTCTGTTCAGTTGGGGGGGAAAGTGGGCAGACCCCAGGGAATGTGACAGTAAATAAGGTTTGGTCTCTTCCCTCAGAAAAAAATAACATGAACAATGGGATTGATATATCATAGAATTACTTTATGTCATTTACTCCTCACAGTAATTACGAGGTGGTATTATCTTCTTTTTATGGCTGAGGAAACAAAGACTTACCAACTTTAAGTTACTCACCCAAGATCACGCAGCTGGTCAGGGGTGGGGCTACCTTAAGAGCCCACTTCTATTTAATTCCAAAATCTGACTATAACCACTCTGTCACTCTATTATAGTCAATATACTTCTGTTATTAATGACAGAAACTGCACAGTCAGCTTTTGTTTATATGTTATCATAAAATTCAAGGCTATAGGAGACAAGTGAGCATTCAAAAAATCTAATTTTAGGTATTGCTTCGAACCTCCTTTATTATTATTTACTTATCCAAGTTTGCTAGGGACTAGAAAAAAGAAAGCAATTTCAGTTAGTTCCTTCAGTATCCATGTCCCCTTTGAACCTAAACTGTTAACAAAAAAAATTGAATGTTACAGAGAACAGCAGAAAGGAAAAACAGTACTTGGTGTTGTTATCATACTAAATATTTAAGGTTTACTAACTTACATTAGGCAATAAATTCCGTTTACTATATACCTCTTTAGGACAGCCACATTGTTACCTAACTTCTTAACAGAACAAAAAGGGGCCCTGGCTGGTGTGGCTCAGTTGGTTGGAGCATTGTCCCTTCACTGAAAGGTTGCAGGTTCAATTCCCATCAGGGCACATACCTAGGTTGTGGGTTCAGACTCAGTCTGAGCAGGTATAGGAGGCAACCAATTGATGGTTTTCTCTTGCTTTGACGTTTCTCTTCCTTCTTCTCTCTCTAAAAGTAATGGAAAAATGTCCTCAAGTGAGAGTAAAAAAATCTGTTTAAGGACAAGAGGGGGAAATTTAATAAAAAGTTAAATATCTGTTTGAACATTTAGTTATATTCCTATATAGCTTTTTTATTTATTTTTTATTGATTATGCCATTACAGTTGTTCTATCCCCCCTTCATTCCCCTCCACCCTACCCCCCATCCCCACTATTACCCCCCCTTTAGTTTATGACCATGTGTCTCAAGTCCTTTAGATTCTATATTTCCCATACTATTCTTGCCCCCCCCATCTATTTTCTATCTACTGTCTATGCTACTTATTTTCTGTACCTTCTCTCCCCTTCTCCTCCTCCCACTCCCCTGTTGCTAACCCTCCTTGAGATCTTCATTTCTATGTTTCCACTCCTGATCTAGCTGTCCTCTTAGTTTGCTTTTGTTTTAGGTGTGGTTGTTAATAACTGTGAGTTTGCTGTCCTTTCACTGTTCATCTTTTTTTAACTTCTTTTTCTTAGATAAGTCCCTTTAACATTTCATATAATAAGGGCTTGGTGATGATGAACTCCTTGAATTTGATCTTATCTGAGAAGCACTTTATCTGTCCTTCCATTCTAAATGAAGACTTTGCTGGGTAGAGCAATCTTGGTTGTAGGTCTTTGGATTTCATGACTTGGAATACCTCTTTCCAGCCCCTTCTTGCCTGTAAGGTCTCTTTTGAGAAATCAGCTGACAGTCTGATAGGAACTCCTTTGTAGGTGACTGTCCCCTTAGCTCTTGCTGCTTCTAGGATTCTCTCCTTCATTTTAATCTTGGCTAATGTAATGATAATGTGTCTTGGTGTGTTTCTTCTTGGGGCCATCTTCTTTGGGACTCTCTAAGCTTCCTGGATTTCCTGGAAGTCTATTTCCTCTGCCAGTTTGGGGAAATTCTCCTTTATTATTTGTTCAAATAAGTTTTCCACTGGTGGCTGTGCCTTTCCCCCTTCTGGTACCCCTATAATTCGGATGTTGGAGCATTTAAAGATGTCCTGGAGGTTCCTAAGACTCTCCCCATTTTTTTGAATTCTTGCTTCTTCACTCTTTTCTGTTTGGCCATTATTTGCTTTCTTCTGGTCCTCTCCATTGATTTGAGTCCCAGTTTTCTTTTCATTGCTATTGGTTTCCTGTGCAATTCCATTCATTTCAATTAGTTTCACCTTCATATGTTTGTCTAATTTGTGGCTATAATCAACCAGTTCTGTGAGGATCCTGATCACCAGTATGAGTAGTGGAGCCTTGGACTCTCAGGTCGCTGGGTTGTGACGCTGTATGTGGGGGTGTGGTCAGAGCGGGGAAATGGCGACCCCCTCTGTTGTTTCTTGCTGCTGGGTGAGGAGCAGAGCCTTAGGTGGTTCACCAGGGCGGGGCCACTCAGGTTGCTGGGTTATGACGCTGCATGTGGAGGCGGGGTCAGAGCGGGGAAATGGTGACGCCCTGTGCTGCCGCTAGCCTTGCGGCCGTGCTCAGTCCCGTAGTCTCACCGCCCACTCCCTCGCTTGTCTATCTGCGCACGAAAGCGCGACCACAGTCAACCCGTAGCCCTGCTCCCTTGCTGTTTCCCCGCGGTCGCTCGCTCGGTCATTCACTAGGTCCAACCCTGCACCTGGGTTCCACGCGCCCGAGTCCGTCTAACCGAGTTTTTCTGTGTAACCCCTCTCCGACAGCTGCTGGTTTCGCCCCTCTTACCGGTCAGGCTGAAGAATTTGTTGTTATCAGACTTCCAAAAAGTTCAATTTTCTGTGTTCTGGCTGTGTTTTCTGTTGCTAATATTTAGTTGTCTCTAAATTTGGTTGTGAGAGAAAGCACGACTTCTCCACCTATGCCTCCATCTTGGCGGAAGTCTCTTCCTATATAGCTCCTTAACCTAGGAAATACCAAGGTGCTTTTAAGTTATAAATATGTTATAAATAGGAAATTATAATAGATATAGTTGAATAATGAAGGAAAAGGTACTAAAAAACAGGAGTTTAGGTTTTTTTCACAAAATAATGGTCAGAAATGGGAAAACAGGAAGAGGTAGCACTTTCAGGTACTGAAAGTGCTGCTACTTTAAGAAAACTGAAATTTAAGCTGCATAACATAATAAAAAATTGTACTAGATAAGGGATTAAAATACATAACAAAATTTCTTTTAAAATAATTTTCCCAGCTATACTTAGTATATTGTTTATTCTACTGAATTTGGATTTTATACAAAACTTCAGAAATAAATCAATTATTGAGTCAAATATCTATGTATTGATGAAATGAGACTAGTCAGAAGAATAAATATTTCAAATAGCAAACCTTATCTACAACACTAAGAACTTATTTTTTACATAGAACTTTTTTTAAATCTACAAATATGGAAACCATAGCATATTTGTGCTTCCAAATTCATTTTAAAGATTTATTTATTTATTTATTTTAAGAGGGGGAAGGGAGAGAGAAAAAAATCTATGTGTGAGAAAAACATCAATCAGTTGCCTCTCACACACCCCCAACTGGAGACCTGGCCCTCAAACTACTAGGCATGTGCCCTGACTGGGAGGTGACCTTTCAGTTCACAGGCCAGTGCTCAAACCACGGAGCCACACCAACGGAACCGAAGTTCTTTTTAAAGGATTATTCTACTCCAGGTCTATGGAAAAACTGCCCTCCAAATCAGGGAGGTTTCTCTTCCTTTGTTTAGTCTGTTAATATTATGATTGATTTTTTAATGTTAACCAACATTGCATCCTGGGATAAACCTCATTTGGTCATGATATAGTCTAATTTTAAACATGGATTTGCTAAAATGTTTAAAATGTTTGCATTTATGTTAATGAGGGATATTGACTTAAGTTTTTTTTTTTTCTTGCAATATCTGTGTCTGGTTTCAGTATCAAAGTGATATTGACATCATACAAGTATTTGGAATGTATTCCCGGTCTTGAATTTCTAGAGAAGTTTCTATAAAATTGGCATCACTTTCTTAAATATTTGGTAGAGTGCATTAGTGAAGGTATTTAGACCTAGCATTTTCAGAGTGTGAAGGTTCTTAACTACAAATTCAATTTCTAAATAGGCTATTTACTAAATAAAACTTTTATCAAATTATATAATCTCTGCTTATGATTCAGGTTATCTATTTCTTTTTGAGACTGCTTTATTAGTTTTAGTGATTCAAAGAATATTTTTATTTAATCTAAGTTGTTGCATGTGTTTATAACAATATAAAATGTTATTTATAATATTCTCATTTTAAAACAGCTTTAT